TACTGCCAGATGCAATCCTTTCAAGGAAAACTGTACTTATATTTAAACCAGTACATTTAACTGATCTATATACTTTAAGGGCAACAGTGGTTACTACCAGAAGATGGGAACATACAAGTTTCTAAATACAGTGACTTGGGGAAAGTTTGTTTCAGATTTGTAATGCAGATAAAACCAACAAAAATCCACTCAAGTGCTCACATAATAAGTAAAACTGCCATGTCTTCTCCCCATGCTGTTCCCCTGTGCAGGGGGAGATACTACCCATACAGGAATGAAGTATTTGAGTAGGAAGAGCAGGATTTAGTCCACTGAAAGCATGAAAGAAAACCATATTATAATCAGAGCTTGTGAGGAAAATCTTAAACTATAAGGCACCCCCAAGTATTAAAATAATAGACTGAAATGTTCTACATCCTTTTTATTGCATTCTCTGCTGCTGTAATTGCAATGGGTACTTTGCTGTTATAATACCATCAATCTTCATTTTTTATTTATTTACTAAATTGTTTGCTAACAGAAGGGAATTTATAATAGAAGCTCATCTGTGTAGATTTGCACAATCATAATTGCATATTCTAACATTGAGTCCAAAGACATATTGATTATATCTAAGAGATATATTTGTTAACAAATTTGGGGCCACAGAAGTGGATTTTTTAAAAGTAATTCCATAATATGAATAAAACAAAATACTTACAGTCATTCTAAGGAGCAAATCTGGTTGTGATTTCTGGCAGAAATCACAGTGCAGTTTCCCTGTGTGGAAGATGATTTATAAAGCTGATGAAGGAACTGTACTTCCTATGTGCTATAAAGACCAGTGCTGTGTTCTCAGCATTTAAACACATACTAAGCATAGTTAGTCACTGCACTGAAGACACCCACAGTGTTAAGGCTGTTGTAAAGCTACTATCCTTGCACTTCATGTCAAGTTGGACTACCGAAATTTGGCACACAGAAAAAGGTTAAGCAAGTTATTGGAGGTTATTAACCAATACTTGAGAGGAATGACTGCTGTCACCCCATGTAACTATAGCAGAAATAAACAGAATGAATCACATTTTAAACACTAAAGTCACTGAAAATGAAATGGTTATTTGCATAGGCTGTTTCAGAGGACAGCAGGCAATGAATTCATATTCTTGACACAATGTATGCTATACAGCAGATTTCGCAAATCCATTATATATTGCCCAAAACAGTGTTCAAATAAATACTACACTAGGAAATACTAAACATCTGCCTTAAGTTTGACATGAAATAGTTATACCTGTTCCCTCCCCTTTGGTAACTGTGAAATGGTTGAAATGATCTCAATGAGAGCATTTTTTTTTATTAGTATCCAGAGTCATTACGTCAATAACCTGAGTGAAGTCTAGGTAGGGCAGCTATTATATATGCCTTCTAAATATGCAATGTGTATTTTAAAACATGATGACAATTTCAATTTTTTATATTAAATTAGGCCTCTTAATCATTAAAAATTCTAATTACCAAGATACAAACCTAATTCATCTTATCTACTTATATATACCCTTGAGTAAATTGTGAAACAAGTAAGCCACAAATTGGAAACTCTGTATATAGGTGGGAGGAGGAACTGTTCATGCAGCATAAAGAAGTCAGTAATTATTATTAAACAGTGTTCTTGAACACAGACCTAACAAATTGTGGATTTAGGGAAGCCTGTGGGGATTCAGGTTTTGCCATTAGTGCCATTTCTATAGTGGAAAGACACAAAACCTCATTTGCAGTTTAGCTCCCTGCATTGCATTTATTTACAAAGCTGTGAGTATTCTACTATTTTTATCATCGTCAGCTTCCCATTTTAATTATATTTGGGACAGATTTCTTATCCTGTGATTAACATGCAGGTGGAAGAATAACACTAAAGGCTCAATGATGGGACTAAGGTTGTATTTCTTTTACTGATTTGTTTCTGGCTTATGCTTAGATTCTATGTGTGCTTCTCATCCAAATGGTGTAGAGAGCAGAGCGGTAGGCTACCCTTTCCCTTGCTCTGGTCGCAGCCTTCTGCGGAGGAGGAGCTTCCCCGGGGAAGTACTGACCTTGCAGGAGCAGGAGCTCTGGAGCCAGGGTGGGCAGGGCAGCACAAGCAGGGATGAGCGGGCCGGAAAGCAGAAACCAACCGCAGGGTTGGCTGCCAGCAGAGAAAAGACTCAGGCCCAGACCTGGAAAGCAGGGTGTTTCTGTAGGAACCTAACAGGGAGCTGTGTGAATTGCGTACAGGTGAGGACGCTGCTGGAGGTTGCCCGCCTGGAAGGCAGAACTGAGTAGAGGGATTCATCCCGTAAAGCAAACTGGGCAAGTGGTTGTTGGCAGATGTTTTAATCAGACTCCATTGCTAAGCCTCAGTTTTCTCTGTAAAGAACTCTCTTGCTCTTGTTTGCTATTTTGTGTGCTAATGCCATCTCAACCTAGCAATAGGAAGCTTTTGATTTCATCATGTTCACTTTAAAAAAAGACTGAGTAGGTCTACTTTAAAGACTTTGGTGACTTAGGGGTCTGTCAGCTAAAAGTGATAAATATATGTATGAATACAACAATCAGATTAAAATTATACATGAGATCTATTGTGACATATATTCCTGACAAGAGTAAATTTAATTCCTGAAATTAATTTAGCCATAATTCTTCAGCTGCATTTTTTTCTTTTCTATTTTAATATCTTTTCTAGTTTAGTATATTGTTATATTTGACTTATTCTTCAACAGCAGCTTAGTAGCAGGAAAAATGCAGCAAGGCTCATTTAAAAACTAAACCCAGGAGGTCAATTCCTGACAACAGATGTCTTGAATAGTCAAGCATGATTTCCATCACTAATCATATATAAACTTTACCTGTTTTTAATGCTAGAACTGTCAACTCTGAAAAAAAAAAAAAAGAGTATCTTATTTTCTAACTTGCTTTCTGTAACACCAACAAAGATAAAATCCCATTGTGACATACATACTCTGCTGTTTCCTAGACATAAGATTTCCACTTATTTTGGGTCAAATCATACATAATAAATAAGTTCCTAGAGACAATGAGCTGATTAAGATCCGTATTAATTTAAAAATTCCTTCTTTCACGTTACTTTCCTATGTTTGTGTCAAGTAGTTCTGGGTTCAGTACACTTATTTTTAAACAACTTATTTCAGAATAATTCCTTTCAGAATCTGGAAATACGAAGCATTCTTTCACTAGAGCTCATGGCTGTTGCCCAAATAAGAAAAGAGGGACTATGTTTTTTCATAAGGGTATAGGCAATCCCGGAGACATTTCCTACCATATAGTTAAAAATATATTTTTCTAACTTTCATAAGACTTTTCCCTGCTCTAAAAAGGGTTGACATTTAGCACAAAGTAAATAAAATCACTGCTGTTTGAACTTGAAGCAGCCGAATAGCCTACAAAAAATCCTTAGCATATCACTTAGGAATTACACAGATAATCATCTGTGGCCGCAGAGACTCTTGTAATAAAAAGATTTCTTAATTGAAATCTACTGAGCACATATACTGTGCTCTCAAGCTGTTCCAGCACCTCCTCCTGTGTCTCCCTCCCCATTGCTTTGCTTCTTTAATGAAATAAAAGCCCTTTAAGTTGACAAAACCATTTATGTTTTCACTAAACCCAGAAAAATATACAAAGAGCTATGCAGTAATCTTTAAATCATACACTAAGCAACTGAGAAATTGGTAGGTAAACCATCCCTCTAGAGATGCATACACAAAACTTCGTTCCAGTTAGCTTAGTATGCATGGTTAAGTTAGATGGCGTAGTTATAGGTTGATGGCTGTAGGCTACATTAAATGTTTTTCACCTTTTTTTGGAAAATAAATCAATTTCTTCTAAACAGTCCAAATATTTTTATATCAACTAGGTGACCCAAAGATATATGTCAGTCTGAAACATTATTTCTTCATTCTCTTATTTATCAGTTCTGCTGGTAGAAGCATTAATTGTAGTCTGATAGCGATATAAAGGAAAAAACAAAGTAATAGAGGATTGTTCACTTGGTTTACTATAAATTAGAATGTATTTGCAAGGAAAAAAAAAGATTCAGACAGCATTTCCTTTCTTGCTATTGTAAAAAAAAAAAAATAAAAAATCATTGTTCATTTAAAATAATAGCTTTTACAGAATTAGTCTATTTTTTTTTCCTTACCGGAAGATTGCAGGAACAAAACACAATTAATGCATTTGCTACCATCACTGATTAAAAAGAAGATTTAAAGCCCTGTATATCCTGCCTTAAACTGATTTTAAAATGTTTACTTTTAAGATAATGTCAAGATCATGGTAATTTCAGAACAACAGTTTACAGTCTGGAGCAGTGGCTGTTCCATGAATCTCAGAATAACAAGTTCTCCCTGTCTCCATCCAGACAAAAACTAGAAGATGTTTGCTAATACAGCTCGCTAATTACAACTTCCTCCCCGCAAAAGTAATGATTTCCATTATTGTTTTGTCATTCTCAGATAAGAAACTCTTGCTCTTTTTCAGTTCTAAACTAAGGACTTGGTACCTGCAGCTGATTAATCCCTCAATTAATTGGCTTTTCATAAATATGATTGGGGCAAAATGCTTAAGGGGTGCACAGGATTTACGCTCTGTTGATACACAGAAGTTAATTTCATCATATGGGTCTTGTTCTTGGGTTTATTAGCATAATAAAATTTAAAACCTTGTATGGTACCCATGGCCAGCCTTTGAATTCAGACTTTACCAAACATCACCATCATCTCCTTCTCACTGAAAAAAAGATATGTAAAATATCTGTGAACTTGGGCTCCACATGTGCTTGGAGATTGTTCTGAAATCACTAGTAAAACCACTAAGGATATGGTGTAAACTGCATCATAACTAACTCGCCAGTTTTGAGGAAGGCCAAGTTTCAGAACTGATGCATTCAGTTCACTTCAAAGGAGTTCAGTTTCTTAAATCTGGTAAATCTCAACTTTTTATTAAAAAAAAAAAAAACCAATATATGGAATCCTGAAAATCAGGGGCATATTTTATTCAATAGCAAAGGCAGTTAATTTTTGTGCAGTAGGTGATCAACATTTGCAAAGCCAGCAACTTTCATGTCCTTTGAGAAAAAAAAAAAAAAAAAGTAAAATTTGGTTAGGAACCATCTGAGGACATCCCACACCTGGAACTGTGTGTTTTCTGGTCCATACCTAAATTTGAATGTGAATCAGTCCCAGTGTTAACTAGAGCAGATTCTTACAGCACTGCCATTCCGCAGAGCCTGCTTTCTCCACTGCTGTTAGTTTTGCAGATGAAAAGGAGCTGTTTAAAGTGAGGAAACTGTTTTGTTGGCAGCAAAATAACCCAGCTTGTTAAGAGATCAGGAGGTTTCAATCTCTTGGCACGAAATCAGTTTCCTTCCTTCCTTTGTTTAAAACACTTGATCCACTATTCTCTGTACAAGGCATATGGAAAATTCTGAAGAGATTATCCATTTCTTTATTCCTTTCCCTGCCTGGAACCGGTGTAACGTAAGAGTCTTCAGAAGGACTGAATATAAAAGTACATACTTGGGGTTTTGGTTCTCACAGGTAGTAAATCCTGGATTAGGATTATGAATTCATGAAATACAGGATTTTTCATCTAGCTTCCGTCACCACATTTTCATTCACATCAAAAAAGAATATAACGTTTTGATTTACTATTGACACAGAAAAATGGGGAGAGAAGCAGAAACGTGAGCTGCAGAAGTTAGAAAAATCACCTTGGGGGGAAATTCAGGAAAACCAGTATTTGAACATTTATCCATTGCTTGATTTATCAGAAAAGAATTGTCATTATGAGATGTTTTATACTAAGACGAAAGCATGAGAAACTACTCATTCTTAAATTGTATCAGACAATGTATCAATATCAGATTATTTTAAGAAGTGTACAAAGTATCCCTACTATTTATAGTATAGAGCATATTTTCTCATTTCTCCCTCTGTATAGGATGAAAAGATGCAGTTGTGCAATACAGCTATAGAAAACAGCTGCCCACATTTCTTAAGAAAGCGTTGAGAATATTGCTGCTTTTACTACTTATTAAATAAAACCACATCTGAGTATCAATAGATGCATAAATATCTAATCATTACACATTTTCACAGCCTCTCAGAGTTCATACTTTTTAATGCAATATCTTATTTTTTTTATGCAAGTGTGCTCTGACAGCTCATTAGTTTGATGCTAGGCTTCAGATTTCAGCACTATATTTCTCACTTTCAGTATGTTAGCATGCATGGGAAACCAAAAGTTTACATACTGGTACATAATGCTGTCAGCACAGCTGAACTGTCTTAATCAAAAATCCAGAATTAAGTCTTTGCCTTCACTCTGTGCAGCAAGTTATTTAAATTGGTCTTCCCAAACCTCACTTAATATTAGGATGAATATTTATTTCTTGTGGATGCTGCTTCAAATATACTGCACTAGTGATAGCTTATTTACAGACATGTACAGTAATTGTACTAAGGAACTGATGTGAGTTAAAACCAGGCCCTCTTTGCTTAAGAAAATATTCCTAAACTATAGACTAATTTTCAATGTATGTTGATTTCATATTTCTCATCTTTTCAGACACCAATTCATTGCTGATCTCTCATTCTATTTTCAAGGTAGCTCTGTTTTTACCAACTCCATCATGGTTTTGCAGTGAAAAATAGTCTCATCTGTTTGCAGAAATGCATTAATATATCACGTCCTAATGGGGGATAGTATAGAAGTCAGTCTGGAGGAAGGAAGGAAACAGATACCTTGAAAAGAACAAGAAGAAAAATTTCCTGCATTCATCAGAATAAACTTCTTTGCCTAATAACTGTTTTAAAATCAGCATCACAATTGTTGCATAATTAGGATAGAATAAAACAGATTTACAAGCCAGATACCATATTTGAGATGACTATTCTGTCAAACCTCCTTCTGTTCAAGTGCAACAGAGAGTTTCCTGCTGTTGTTCACGATATCCTGTTGGTATTATGTTTTGGGAATAGAAGCAAAATTCTTTTGGGCTTAATTGTAAATCAGGCATCTCTCTCCACTTTATTACATCGGAACAGGCTAAATGGGTAATTGGTACTAGTGGTATGATTGTGATGTTATTACTACCGATAATGATAATGTTATCCATACTTCATACTATGAATTTAAGTCTTTCATACAAGGAACTGCACAAACAGGAGTGCTTTAGAGGCCTCCCTGTGTGGTATTGAGGCAGACGCTATCTCTCTGGTTCCACTAATCATCACTTTCTACCAAGAAATACCTCTACTGTCATTTGATCTAGAGAAGCAGTTCCTAACAGTTTGACTAAACTGACTCAACGTATCATGTGACATGACTTCTTTTTCTCTGGTTTCATATTAGTAAAGCCACTTCTGAATTACATGCTGATGATGTCAGAGCAGGCTCAAGCCCTCAGAAGCAACCACTACAGCAACACGCTCTGTTCTACGTCCTCCTGAGAAGCCCAGGATATCGGAACAATTTATCTCTTTGTAGTTCCATTAATGTATTTCCTTAGACTGACATGTAACCAAGCACTGCAGACTAGCAATGTAGTTAAAAAAAGCTTTCACTGCTGTTCAAAAGGTGTTCGGTCAGAATAGTATACATTACTGTAGGAATGCTTGCAGACAGGACTAATCAACAACAAATCTGATCTTACTTGCAGTAGACCTTTTACCCCAGCAATTCAGAAGTCACAAGACATGTCTAGCACATCCCATGTCATGCTTGCATGAAGTCCTGTGAAACAAACATAACTGAACATTCCTGTACAATAGCTGTTTTTTTAAACAGTTACTTGACTATTGTTAACTGAACTACAAGTTATGACAACTGATATATCCATAGTCATCCCTTTGGCATTCTTTATAAAAACATGAATCACAGAAACATTCATCGTGAGGAACTCCCATCAAAAGGACGTGTATGCTGTGTGTCGTTCAGCCTAGCTGTATCTTTCCACTCTGTAAAATGTAACTGTCAGAACAACTGGAATGAATCATATAGGCCAACATGTAGGCTTGGTAAAGAACTCATCTGATAAAACACATGTCAAAATTAATTAGTTACGTTTAGCTTCAAGTGACCCTTGTGTACAAAAGAAAAATGAAAATTTTCTTTCTTCATAAGTCATTCTACCAAACATTGCAATCGTACCATGTTGGTGTATGTTAATCAGAAAACAAAACACTTGAAAGAAATTGGCCTACTAACGAAGCTCAGACATTGAAAAGCATGGATAAAGAGCATAAACAGGATAAAATAACTACTAAACCAGATTGTGCTTGCACTTAGTCAACGGGAAAGGGAGGAATTAACCACTGCACCTGTCGCAAAGTTGTCAGAGGAAAAAGGAATAGATCTAGATCCAGAAGCCCTTTCAAAACGACTCATGTTTTTTTTCCCCATGTTCCCCCCACAAAGCCTTTCACCACTTCGAGTAACGTTTGACTGAAATGGTGTTGACAGCTATTCTTTATGGCATCTTTTGTCTGTCCAAGCTGCAGAATTAAATTCCCCTGAAAGTTAAAGTGGCTCTGTTCAGAATTGTGCCAGCTCTCTGGAGATCACAGAAGAGGGTACAGATGCGGGATAAATGTGAGAAGAATATGTATGTCATATAAAGGAAATGAACTCAGGAGCATGGTGTGAATGGTGCTACCTACAGCTGTCACCTGCTGTATTTTCCTATGTATGTAGGTACTTGCATTACAAGAGACACAGTGACACCCCCCTGTGTTCTTTCTCTTCCTCTTTTTCAGGCAAGAGATACCTAAAAGAATTCCACTCCCTTACAAACACTAAGTATTTATTCACACTTCTGCAAAGGCAGAGGGCTAACTGGTAAGAATTTTATACTAGCTCTGCTCAGGTTCAGACAGTTATATAAATGAAAGTCGGAGAAATACCAAGCAATGGTTTCCTAATAAACAGTACTGGTTTTTTTCTAAATCTAGTATTTAAAGAATAGAGTTACTTCCTGTAATAATTCAATGTCTAATTATAAAAAAGTAATGTGCTTAATTGAGTTTGTTTTCAGTTTCTATCCACACATTAATTGTGTCTATGAAGCTCCCTAAGGCTATCATAATGCAATGTTTCAAATGTACGCCCTAAGCCACAATGATCAGGGGTGACCTTTACCCATAACATTTCAAGTGATAGGTCTCACACCATAAAAAGCCAGTAATTTCTGCTATCCATAGATTTCAAAATTGATGTGTGTTTCACTTGGGAAGAATGTCTGTTTTGCTTTTAGCAGAAGTCTCAGAACTGGTAGGATTTTCAGTGCTTCTGTGGTGCTGTAAGACATAGTTGCTAAGATCTTAGTTCTTAATTTAAATCCTATTATGGCGAAAAAACACTCTGCATAACTAAAATATTTTTTTACAATTCCTTACTGCATAAATAAAGGAATGTAAATATTTTGGTATCAAAAATCTAGTGATAAAAAGATACAAATGATTATCATAGCGTAAAAGAAACAATTTATACATTTTAAGGTAAATAACATGAGTATACGTAATCACAGATGTGGATATTCAGATCAGCAAGTTGTTACATACATATAAAAGCTGTAAAAGCAACATTAAGTACAGCATTATGAGCACTGTATTTCTAAAAATGCTGATATTACTTGCTATCTACACTGCACAATTATAGGCATCTGCTCTAACTGGACATCTCATCATAGTTCTATTTTGCTTTCTGTATTGATGTTTCTGATTGAAGAAATAATTACCTCGAGTATTATGTTTGCTAATAGGCTCTTAACTTAAAGTTGCCTTCCCTAATACGGATGCAACTCGATAGCCTGGAAATTCCACACAGGTTCCAATTACTAAATCTATTCCATACTGGAATAGAAAAGTGAACTACTTGCTGCAACACACAGTGTTTATTGACTAACCAAGCCTTTGCCATGATACAAGTGAAGGTACACAGCTAGAGCGTTATTGACACTGACAAACAACCTCTGTGAACAATGATTTTATCAGGTTAATACTAAGCCTCATTTTGTCTCTCTGTGCTCAGTGAAATTGTTGGAGTAAAGGGTAACAGGGATGGTACCAAAGAAAATCTGAACTTGAGATAAAACGGAAAGCTTTTCCTTTTATACCTTCTCAGTGCCAGCAGTGCTTCCTCAGTGTTGTCCAGGGTACTTTAAATCACGTTCTTGTAAGAATAAATTTCAAGCCATTATGAATCTCACATTTCAGCCTTCTTCAGTTAAAATTATCTAGTAGTTCTAATAGCAGTATTAACTAAAGCAGGGCAGGAAAGACAGCACTGTTAGTACAATCACTGCAGAGTTGCCAGGGCACTCAGTAACCTTTTACAGATGGAATTTAATGCAGTAAAGTTCACAATTTAGTTTTTTAGATTAGATTAACATTTGAATGCATCTTATCTGTCTGAAAAGGAGGCAGGCAAGTGAGTCGCCACAAAGCTGGCAAAGGAGGAAAAAGAGAGACATCTAGAACAAAAAAATAGCAGTTTCAAATTACATCATTTTCTTTTGCCACAAGAACTTAAGTATCCCACAATGACAAGGTTATTTTCATCCCATAACTTATTCCCTCATTTTCTATCATAAACATCCAATGATTTGGTCAATACTTTTGACTTGGGCCCTGATCTTGCCCACCTGCATATACATTTAAGTTTACTCACATGAGTAACATCACTGGCTGCAGTAAGACAATTCATCAAACGTGTAAATCTTTTAGGATCGCTGGCTTTGTTTTGTTAAGGTGAAAAAGGATGTTAAAATAACTTTGTTCCTGGAAGTTTAATAAGGAACTTTACAGTGGTAGGAAGAAGAGAACCAAGCATTTCATATATTCCCTAAAAGAAGTTGAAATTAGTTTTTAGAAGACGCACTTGAAAATACTAACAGAAATACAGAAATAATGTCTGCTCTGCTCTCTCTCTTCATAGTGCAAACAGAAGTTATCTACGTTCTGAAATAGAGAATTTTAGAAAATTAAAATGCCTAATTTCAAACTAACACATTCTTCTCTGTCATACATTGTGCCAAAGTGTGCATTACCAGACTTCCGATGTGCTGCTTTAAATGATTCATGGAACACTTAACATTACAATATCTCACTGATATACATCCTGCTGGGATTTATTGACACTATAACATTTCTAAAACTAAATAATCTAATATTATGGCGATATGTCCCAAATTCACAAATCTCAGTATTGAAATACATTTTGAAAAACCCAGACTTGCAACACATGGTATCATAGGGGATATATGATTCTAACATGACATGAAATTCTGGTTCTGTCTACACATAACTTCTTCCATACGGAAACATGTATATACTGAAAAATCAGTTATTCACTAGAAAATGTACAGTCATTTCAGAGTATTGTTTTATCGCTCTGGAGGATTTGTGAAATGACATTTCTACGGATTTAAGGTGTGCCAGTTCAGGACAAAAGTTTGATGCCACTAGCACTAACAGGTCTCTCCTAGCTAAAATAAGGTGTGGGGGAGGTGTTTGTAGTTTTTTATGGGTCTTTTGTTTGTTTTTTTAAATGTGTATTTAATAAAGTTTTCTGTCTTTCTTAAATTTATTAGCCTAATACCACTCTGTGAGAGCTTTCTACAGATGGGAGCAACAAGAAATAAAATCACTGGATGTCAGCAGTGGAAGCACTCTTAAATCTGTGACAGAAACACATGACTGACTGCTTTCAACCTCCTCTGCTTTTCACAGTCCAAGAAGGGATCACCTTTCCCAATTAGAAGCCCAAGTCAGAATTCAGCTTATATTGTTCTAAACTATTTGACAGAAAGTCTCCCCTCAAAAGGCAGACAATTAAATGCTCATAATTCATGAACAGAATTACCCACTAATCCTAAATAACACTGTTCTTCATTATTTTCACTTGAAAATTGAGTATATAAAGCACTGGAAAACCAAATTTAGAAGGAAAAAAAAGGAACAATTATTTTTCTACTTAGAAACAACACAATGTATTACCAATGTACTACTTAGCTGTGACTAAATTGCTTAAAGTATTTAAAACTAAAGGTTTTTTGATAACTGCAATGTTTGGGATGAGCTCTTAGATTATATATAAATACTAATGTGTTGCACACAATAGACCCGACTATAGAAGACATTATATCTATTGGTTTTTTTCTCTTTTAAAACAGATATATGCATTCGATCCCAGTATCTATATAAAAGAAATCTGTGAGTTCAGTGGGAGGTTTGTTCTACGAAAAACGGGAAATGGGGTATTAGCAACCTCCAGAACTCCTGGGAATGGAGCAGTTCCAACTTCCACTTTAGTCAGTGGAAATTATGGCTAGATAGATAACCATAAACAGCATACAGAATCAGTTTTAAACGTTGTTGCAAATAACTACCATCTATTTTCTTACCATAGAAAATCAGCAGGATGCATCTCATGAGTAATACACTTCAGTAGCAGCAAGTATTTGCAGAAATGCTTTCAACTAATTCAATTCAGGTTGTCATAAAATTGAAAAATAAAACACATCAACATTTGCATGAGAATCAATGAACATCTCAAGATAGTGTCAATTTGCACACATAACCTTTTTACCATTACAGCGCTTAATGCATTTCACAACTACTGAATTAAAATTTATATTGCACTGAAGTAAATGTCTTGTAAAAAGCCGGTTTCAAATAGATTTGGTCTATTTGTAGATTATCACCAAAATACAGAAAAATTATTAGGAACCCTGATAAAAGTTTAAAATTGGCTGTTAAAAAGAATCTGTATTTACTGATAAATTCATTTTCTTTGTATATGGTATTATCACTTAAAAGAATACACTTAACAATAACAAATAAATGCTTTATTCAATTAAATTGGTGCGATCTAACTTTGTTAAAATAATCTTTGAAAAGTTTGAACCTGTTGGTCCTATTTCCTAGTGATATGTAGAGCCTTCTTTTACATATTATGACAATTTGAACAATTACAATCAAACCATCCAAAAACTAACAGAAATTAAGAAAAACAACAGACTGGCTAACCAATAAGATTCCAAGTTTGACATGGTATATGAGCTCCACTGTCAAAAAAAATCTTTCCTGAAAACTGTAGAACAAAGAGGAAATGTTAGTAGAAATAACAAGAAAATAGAAAGAAAACCAACAAATTACTGTATTCAAAATAGTAGTCAGTCATTTTCAAAAGGTGTTGCCTCTTCACTCTATTATTGCTTTTTGTATTTCAGAATTTCTACCATTCTAAGTGAGAAATACAGTTCTTCATCTGGATAAATCGTCAATAAACCAAAAGTATTACCTCCTTTGTTAGAGTAAAGGAAAATAATATAGTCTATACAGCTGTTGGTCCTACATAGCCTGTCAATGTCATATTACGCTGATTAGTTCTTATTAAACAGATGCACTGAGTTTCTGAGTGTCAGAATATGGAAAGTTCTGAGGTGGTTTCTATTCTTTTTGTTACTGATGTGATATTTAAAACAACAAACAAACTCCTGACTTAGCTTCACCTCCATTTGTATAACCCCTGGAATCTACTCTGTTAGGATCATTTAGTTCTTCAAACAGTCCTGTTTCTATAATTTCTTCCTGCCAGGCTAGAGGGACAGCACCTGTTGCAAACTTTTTGAAGAACTTCTTATCTTTGTCATCAAACTCAATTCCTCGTATTTCAGAGAAGTCAGCAATGTCTGAAATATCTCTGGCATAGACAACTGATGGATCTGGCACAAATGGAGGGTCAACAAGGTTTGCCTCTAGCCTGTGGAAATTTATTGTTTTGAAGAAACTATGTTTTCTTGGGTCATCATCTTCATTTCTGCAATAAAGCAAAAGTTTGTTAATCAGTATGATGTTTTGCTCTCAGATAGATACAGGTATGTCTCTGTTGTATACATAAGAGTGTTTTAAAGTTGGGGGTAGGGGAGGGAGAGAAAGAAAGAAAGAAAGAGAGAGAGAGATCATGCAATGCAATTCCTTTTTTCATAACCAAAGAATGCTGCATTGCACAATATAAGCAAAGCTGAGCAGCAGAAAACATCCTGATCCCATTATTCATTACTCTACATCTACAGGGTAGATCAGTCCAGGCAAGGTGCCATGCAAGTGTTGCAGTGCTGCTTCTGGCAGCACACTGAGATACCCATATCCAAAGATAGACTTTAACCAGAACTGAAGATACAGCAGGCTGAGGAGGGGGAGAATGGACAATGGAAGTCCAATGGTCAGCTCTGTTGTCTAGGGTAAGAACGTCTATTAAATTCTAGACTGGGGTACATTGGGTTAATACATTTAGGGACCGACTCTGAGGAACAACAGTGAACAGGAAAATGGTGTCAAATGACATTTCTGGTTTTATCTTAATTCAAAGCAGCTATGCATTTACATATAAAATTCAGCTATGTCACTCCAATAAACGTGCCCAGTTTTAGTGAGTGTTCATTCAAATTAACTACGCATAAATTAACAAAGATTTTAAGCAAGAGATTAACAAATCATGAGATTAGCAAAAGTATATGCATCACTGTCACAAACACAATCCTTTATTAATATTACTGAAGCCCAATAATAAATCCCAAGAACTAAAATAATTGTAAATACGTATTTTAAGTACATCTTAAGAAAAACAACTGATGACCTCAGGGAGACCTTTTGCTGTAAAAGAAACAGCGAATGGTTTCATTGTAGACCCATAGAGATATGTAAGATATTCTGCTGACAAAATTAATCTGAGTCTCAAATGAGTGCTTGTTAAAGCATGACCAGGGACCACAGCTTTTGAACTGCGCCTCTATTGTCAAGCCACACAAGATTTAAATTTTGAATTCTAGTGAAAGGAGGAGCAGAGAGGACCACTATTTTCTACACCTGTGTGTTCTTTTTTCATGTATTTATGGATGCACTGGTCTTGAAAATGGTAATGTAGGAGAACCAAATTGGTCTGTTTTTTGGGCTCAGAAAACGGTAGTTGCTAACATGTTGCTTTTTTATTTTCCCACTTTCTTACAAAATTCTCTACTTAGCAAAGTATAAGCCCTCATGTATTTCTAGACAATGTTCTGTGAACAAAATGTAATGCAAACCTTTGGCAATTCTTTTTAACTTTGAAAACAGGTAGAAGCACCATACAGAAGTAGCAGATTTGTGTGACTATAGGAACTCTTCATTTTCTAAGACCTTATACGACATATGCAGAACAGCTCCTCAAATTTGCCACTACTGCTAGTTCCTTATACACTGCCCTACCATACTTCTAGCCTGCCTTGGTGCTATCCAGGCCCAGCTGAGATGAAACTACCAGCTGCCCTTTTCAACTCCCTTGTTAGAAAATTGTTATTTTGCACCTCTGCTGCCTGATTCTTCTGAGTGGGTCATCACCAGCCACTAAACACTGTATACCATCCATGACCAGGATGATAAATCACAGCCTGAAGAACGATAGATGCTGCCATCTGAGCACCTTGGGCAATGAAATAACAATGTCTGCAACCCAAAGGAGCCATATGAACACAATTATGAATTTATAGATTAAGCCAACAGGGATCATGACCTCTGCATATACAGAGTTTTGCAAAATAATCTCCTAACTCAACTAGCTAGTGATAATCAAGTACTTGAGCAGCTCTTGAGCCCGATGAGATTTATTTACATTCACTGTTAGCTTGAAATGCATTAGAGTTGCTGTTCAAATTAACTCGTGTCCTGGGATACACTAGATGCACTCACAAAAATTTCAGTTCATTTTGTTTTTCATTTCTGTAACACAAACCAAAAAGTACTAGAAGCTGGTGAAGGCTCCAGAATGGATTGATGCAGTGCTTCTCACCCGATGTGTTCTCTGACACCATCAAAACCATAAAGTTTAAAAACATAAAGCTACAGGAACGCCATCTACTGGAACCAACTGAGGCATCTTCCAACAAACTGGAAATGAACTTGAGCTCTTCCTGGGTGAACTGCACATTTACATAACTTAAATAGAAAGAGCAGATGAACTGATTTAAACCCTATGAATTTTGTATTCCTCCATTTAAGAAGAAAAAAAAAATCACTTTATAGATTTGGGATTTAAGATGTCAATCCCAAAAAGTGTGAGTGGAGAAAAAGGGTTATAGCTTTCCTGAGTTAAGCAGTGACATTGAGTTTTCAGTAAGAATGAAGTAATTTAAAAGGTCAGGTGTACAAAGTAGAGCTGTCTGTCCTTGAGCAGCTTTAACTTATGCAACAGGCACTTATGTAGATAACCTAAGGTCTTGTTGTCCTTCACAGAATTACAGTACTAATCTTTACATAAGGATGAGCTGTCCTGAATAGTATCACCCTGTTTAAGAGGTACATATAGGCTTTTATTCTGTATCATGCCCAGCTATGGTATACATCTTATTGTTTTCCTTCTCTAAATACGGCACATAAGAGTATCTTAAATAGCAGAAAACTGAAAATAATCTGTGCAATTACCTTTCTGTGTACATTTCTCTCATTGCTGAGAAATAATGTAACAGTAAGCAGACAGAATGATGGTAAATTATTCCCTCATCAAGGGGAATGTGGTTACAGTAAGTGAATAGTCTGTTGCTGCTTTTGCTTCAGACTTGCTGAATGAACTTGACCAAGTAGCTCAAAATCTCTAAATTTCATTTTCTCCTACTCTGAAATTTGTTTACTTCACAAAATGCTGTAAGACTAAATGTCTGCAAAGAATGCTGACTTCTAAAGAGAAACACTCTAAATGTCGTTTGTATTAAATTTATTTTTAAAATAAGCTTTTTAAACATCTTAAAAATAACACAGATTTTGTATCAAACATACTCTATGTGCTGTTCAAAATTATTTTTTTTCTGCACCCCTACAGAGTTGTTGGGAAAATCATCAGGCACAAAGAGTAGTTGTCTTCATTTAGCACTGGAATAATAAGAATATGTATATTAACTACATCTTATCTTTCATTAAAGTTAATTCTTTCAGGCAAATGCGTGACTACTATTTTGCAAATTTGTTCCACACTGTTATGAAATATAAATTTAGAAGACTATCTGTGCATGTGCATTAAGTCCCTGTATCTATTCCACCTTGAGACTGGAAAAGCACCTGATAGATATATTTGTATTCATAGATTATTCAAATCATGGTATATTCTAAAGACAGGCATTATCAGTTTCCTATTAGATTTTTACATTTTTACTATATTTCTTTTATTTTGCCTATATTGCAAATGTAGACCCCCAATCTGTCTCGTTAGAAATGCACTAAAGGATTTTTTTATATACATACACACCCTCACATATCAGAGGGATCAGAGACATTACAAGTTAAATATTACAATACTTAGCCTTCTCATTTTCTTCTTATTGAACAGTTACTTGAAATTGATAAGTCAGGGACACATCCATTAGCCTTCATCAACCCAAAGCTACCTCTGAAGTCCCAAGAAATGTTTTGCTTTATAAGAATTCATGCACAATATTATTTTCCTTCCCTTTAGTCCCTGAGATGAGTCAGAAAAAACAGAACGTCTACAAGATGTTTTTTTTAAAGCACTTGAGTAAAGCAGAGGGGTTAAGGTCTCTTCAGTAAGAAGCCAATTGCGCAGCCTTGCATCTATCTGCAGGGAAGAGAATCCACACTGCAGATTTGGATTTTTGCCCACATCATGCCAGTAAGTGATACAGCCTAAGATTCTGCATTCAGTCTGCATTAACATAGATGCAGTTATCTACTTGAATATCCTTTACCTTTAGGAAAGAAAATGCAAGAGAAATGGGCTGCTCCCGTCCTCCAAAACTGTATAGAGTCTAACCCCACAAAACACCAAGCAAGGACCTCCTATGAGTAGTCTGGGGTGAGGATGGATAATCACACTACTGCAACAAAATTCCCTATTTCCATCTTATCTTCAAAACTTTCCACCTCTCTCTTCTGAGAAGTGAAAAGGAAAATTCATTACTCTGTAGAAAGTCAAGATCTGACCTAATTTTATGTAATACTTAAATAAATATATTGTTTGCATCTTTAATCTGGCTTTTACTGAGTTTGAGAAGAAAGGCATACCTGCTTCCTAAACGATTTTCTGCTTTCTTAGCCAAAAACAGTTGGCAAATATCTTTTGCTTCCTCTGTAAAGTTGGCATGTTCAAATTTCACCTCATCTTCCAGAGTTCTTCTTTTAACCTCATCTTTGCCAACCTTTTCTTTGAAATCCTTGAATGGTGTTCGCCCAGCAACCATCTCATAAATACTACACCCCATAGCAAACCAGTCCACAGGATAGCTGTATTCTTCTTCCTTCAGGATTTCCGGAGCCATATATCCATTTGTCCCAGCCTATTGCAAACATACGGACAGATTTACTATATGATGTCAGTAAAGAAATACATACAACTAAACAGACTGGACTATAATTCTTCCAAAATATTAATAATACAATTGATATATTTCATATCTAGAAACTCTGTACAAATTGGTATGTTTTCTTACCTAGAAACTCTGAGGTATAACTCTTTTAGCACATGGACTGTATTTGTTTTTAAACATCTTAGCATATGAGAAAAGTGTCTTAAATATGCTCTTGAAAGGTGAAATGTCTGCAATTTCTACCTAACAGTGGTTTCTTTTTAACTTAAGGGTTTAGCTTGCTTTCTTCTTCCATATTATTTTTTTTTTCTGTTGATGATAGTGTGAGCTTTGTCCTGTAAACACAACTAGCCGTCAGTTTGAAAAGATCAAAAAAAAGACAAGAATCAGACAAACAATCACCAATTCCCTCCCCATTCAGTGGTTATAGCTGATCCAGCACAGGAGTCTGATGCCAATGAGAAAATTCTCATTGAGCCAGTAGCTGAGCTGCATGAGGAAGTTCTCACCCGCACTCCCTGTTGGTTTCTGGAAGGAAGTACTACCATCAAGGGCCAAGAAAAACTCTTGTAACCACCGTAAGAAAGTAAACCTATGACAACTATAATTAGTAAATTACATGCATTCAGGTGAAAGAACAAGTTAATATTTCCAACTGAAAAAAGCTCGCTGGATAAAGACTGCTACTATATACAGCACTGATAGACCCTCCTCCAAGAGAAGTGGCCACTCTGAGAGGGGAATCTGACTGCTCCCTTCCCAGATCAGGCCTGGCATGCTTCCCATGGGGGACAGACTGCACAGTGTTCAAAATAGCTCCTGTTGCCTCTCTCCGGGGAGCTGATTCACCTGGGAGGGAAGAGAGGAGGGCAACCGCTATATATGCTTTCTGCTGCACTGTTACATGAGTGAGGATGTGAGATTTCAATTGAAGCAGCATTCTCTCAGCTGACCCAAAACTTCCTGCCGTATCTGATGCTGTATCTTATTTGATATATCTACCAGATTCAGCTAGCAGTAATAACTATGTCACAAGTTGCTTGAACCTCTTTTATATCTTTTTGAAATAGTGGGACTGATATGTCAGTAGTATTACAATTTTAAATGAACAATTACGATGATGCAAGATCCCACTAAAGATTATTTAAGATGGTCATTACTACTGCTACCAGAACACAAGTGGTGACAGAGATTGACTCCAAAGCAAAACAGCTAGAAAAAGGTAACTAAAACTAGAGCTCATTTGGGCGAATTATATTTATAAAAAGCACAGCTCAACAGATTAATTTTATTTTATGGGGTTTAGGTAACTCCTCTAATTTTTGCAACATTAGGCACAGTATTTCTGAGTTAGGTCTCCCTGTAAACTTTAGCTCATGCCACTACACATTATGGCATATATTCTACTGTAAACTATGTGTGCAAGAGAGAATATTTTAGCATCAATTACAACATAAGACTAATGAACAGAAAATTAAATCCAGTTTGTTTTCCCTCTATTTTTTTTTTCCACTTCTAGGGATAAAGAACATAATCCTCCATTTGGGTGAAAACCAGAAATGAGATGAGAATAACAAAAATATCAGCCAGGTTTAAAGCAAAGGAAAAGGTTAAAAGTGAACTGTTGCCTCCCTCACTAAAACCACAAAAGTATAGAGGAGCAGTATGGGCATTGCAGCAGCTGATATGATTCCACAGGTAAATTGTACTGGTTACAGTGAATTTCTCTAAGTAAAAGCTAGTATTGAGACACACCCTGGCAGGATTACATTTTTATGTACAGTAACTGTTTCATTCATAAAGGGGGACAAGTGCTCAAATATGGACCACAGAACTCAGATCCATCTGGCCTCAGAAGATCATGAAACCTGGAAGGGAGAGGAAGGGTTGAAAGGAGTAGACAAAGTTTGGTACAGAAGGATGTACACAGAGCTCATTGAGGGTTAGTGAACACAGATACAAAATGGGCTTCTACAGTATTTTTTGTCTTTTTTTTTTTTTTTTTTTTTTGCCTTCTGGGAAGCAATAAACATTTTTAGTGATATGATGTTGGGGCACTAATGCCTTGAAGAATTGATGAGTCATATCACCATCAAAATATACTCTGACAGCATAGGCTGGTCTTTCTGATAAGACATTACTTTGCTGTAATTTACCATCATCATACGGGAACTGGATAAAACTGACATGAAAAAGTCAGAATTCTGTGATCATAAATGTCTCCAGACAGCTCCTTTCAGACTGCCTCTCATTCCTTCCACTTGGGTTATTTCTTCCATAGTTGTTTTTTCAAAAGAAATAGTCACCAAGTAACTTCAGCCTCTTCCATATGCATTTTCCATAACCTTCAATAAGTCATACCATACAGAAGAACACCCTGCTTTGACATGATACTTATGTTTCTCAAGAACAGAGAAAGCAAGACCACAGCTGCCTACCGAAAAGACTGCACAACCACAATTTAATAGAAAATAGAGATGGGCCAACAACAGATTCCCTTCAGACTGAAGTGGAAGACTGTGGATGGGGTTACTGCGAAAAAGAATTAACTTAAAAATTCTAAATTAGTCGCATTTAAATCTTTTGAGCTGTTTTTGAGCTGATCCAGCCCAGTCTGAGAGAAGTCTAGAAACATATACTGTTCCTCTGATATATCAAAACATCACAATTCAGAATTCTGAGAGCTGTTCTTCTCATGGAATTTCATCAAAACTTAAACCCAGTCTTAAAACAAATCTCTCCCAATCCTGAAAATTTCCTATGATTCATAATGAAGGAACAGGCTGAGAAGCAGGAATCTAAACCTAATCTCATAGCCCCTGAAACTCAAACCCACTTTACCATTTTACAGCAGAAATACACACATTTCACAAGCAGTCAGCAGTGATGTTTAAGGGGGAAGAAGCACATAAACAAGCAGGGGGAATAAATACATAAAGCTCTGTAATCTTTATCAAAACAGGAATTTGAAGAAAGAAAAGAGCTTACATTTTAGTCTTTTCCACCTATTTCTACACATGTGGAGCTTTGGCAAAATCATTTGGGAAGCAAGGTGATCATTTGGGAAGCAACAAGATCACTTAGGAAGCAACATGATCAAGACATAAGAATTTGCTATATTAGGAAACACAAAAAAAATAATTATTCAACCCTCAGAACTAAAAGAACACACATCTGTCAAATGAAGATTTAATTCTATCTTTGGGCAGCAGATAGCATTAAAGGGAAGCTAAAACTTAACATCCCTGCACTAATCATTATGAAGAACAAGATGTCAAAAATCAGATCATATTTCAAGGAAAACAGATCCTGTGGCAACATGAAAGGCAGCCTCAGTGACTCAGGGGATGTTTATTTAAGCAGGTAAAACAGAAGCTTAGTGAAGGGAGTTTTTAAACTGTACAACTGTGTAGCAGTTGTGAGATCTGAGCAGCAAAAACAGTGTATTAGGTGGAAAATGTATCCACCAATTCCCAAAACAAAAGTGAATCAGAGTAATGAGTTAAGTTACTCTCAGCAGTTCAAGGAGAAAATAAATATGCTGTAAATTATACTCAAATGGAAAAATGAAAAAAAAAAAAAAAAGACAGAAAGCAAAGGAATTAAAAGATATCACAAAAAAAAAGATAAATTTACTTTTCAGAAGAACTTTATTTTCCATGGGCTGGTACTGAATATTTAATTAATTTAGAATTATCTGATCGTGACTCAGAATGGGTACCTCTAAGTAAAGGTTACTGGTATGTCTATCACTAAAAGTCATTAAGTTTTTACGATTTTGTAGTTCTCACTCAGTACAATTTATAAGTACATTCAGAAGTTGTGTATTATCTGAAAAACATGTTTTCTTACTAGATCTTATTTTACATGGATAAATTTCACTCTTAATGGAAACAGGGAAAATAAAATAAAAGAAAAACACCACCTCAGAAAGTTGGACTTGTTTGTTGTCATCTCTACACTACCAGGATATGCATTGGGTTTTGACTGAGACTAACACCAAGCACATTATTCTCTTCTTTCCTGTAGGATTCCTGATAAGCCCAGGATCCATTTGAACATATGTGTTGACTGATCATGTAATCTTATACAGACACAGAAACACATGGAATTATATCTTCACTGACCTGGAAGCATCTAATGGGACCCAATTAAAAAAATATCACAAAGGAGCCACAGAATGTTTTATTATCCCAGCTTTTTTACAGAAGGCAGAAATCATATACCATTGCACAGACAGAAAACTTTTTGAAGTATAGTCAATGCAACACTAGCTACTTTTTAATTGCTCTCCATCTAATACTGTCTTTTGTGATGATGAGAAGGATGTCTTACTTGCATATGCTGTCTGAAATATATAGTCATTACACGTCAGTCAAATTTAACCCTTTTCAAAAGCAAGTCAAGTAAACAGATCTACTTCTCCTTTTATTTCTCTATCTTGAGAACAACCCAAAATACAATTTTTCAATAGTCCTCTAAAATGCAATGACCAAATGTTGTCCTTGGATACATGAGTGAAGAAGTTCTGTTAAGTGAAATTGTTGCTTTGAGTGTGGTCTGACAGGGCAGAGCAGAAATGATTCATCTGAAAGTATACAAATGTTTCTTTTGTGAAATGTGATCCTGCATAAATTTTTAAAAGGTCAGATAATTATAAGCTTTTAATAATACAAGATGTGATCCTGAGAAGCACTAAGTGCACTCAGTTCCCAGTACAGTCAACAGGTACTTGGCACACCACAACTCTGAGCAGAACGAGGCCCACAGTGTAAGTACGTGCATACATCCTATTCATATTGTTGTTCTGAGAAGGGAAAGTCCCTTGAACACTGCCGTTATCCCAGCTTCTAGCAGATGCAGAGGAGAAAGAAAGAGAAGTCTCTGGAGCTTTCACCAGCACAGCAACAGGCAAATGAGGAGTAATGGGACTTAAATCTCTACCTTTTCCCACAGATCTCTGCAAAACA